GAACAATATACTAACACTGCACTTGCAGTGTAACCAGGTCTGAATGACCTACAGTTTTACAACTTTCATGCAACTTCTCAGTAGGAACAGAAATACAAAGTGGTAGTTCACCACACACCTAATCGGCTGATACCAATTTCAGGGCAGCCGAACAGTCACTGAGTGTTTAGGGCATCAACAGTTACTTAGAGTAGCTGAATAGCAGTAACACAAAAGAGAAGAGAAAAAAAAATGTAGCCGAACAGTCACCCTAGTCAGATTTTAGGGCATTAACAGTCCATCGAAGAGAGCAAGAAGAGAACAATAAAAAAAAAAAACTTCAGTTGAGTACCAGGTCACCCGAACAGTGGATAGGCAGTACACTCTTGGACACCATCTTCTCTGCAATCCAGAACCCTTCTTCGTACATCAGGTGATAGTTTTCTACAGTCTTCTCAGCCGAGCAACTACAGATACCAGCACCTGGGCTGGAGGATGAAAAAAAAAAACTTCGTAGCAGAACCCTTTTCTGTGCAAGGAAGTTGAATAGTCAAGTTGATTCTACTCGGCATTGGAGACTAACCGCAGCACTGGAAAATGATTTCTCTTCCTTGCCTTCGAACATCAGGAATATAATGACCTCAGCTGGTTGTTTTCCAGGCCTGGACAGTTCCGCTCTGATACCATGTTGAGCAAGAGAAAGAAGAGGAAGAGGAGGAAGAGAGAAGAGGCTGGCGGACTTAATGCCTCAAAAGAACTTGCTTCATGCGAGTGAAGCATTTGTATTTATACTATACTGGCCGTACAACACAAGTGGTATAGAAATTACAAAAATACCCCTGCGGGCACTAAATCTGTGTACAGTACATACAATAACATCTGTCAACAGCCCCTTTTTCTCTATTTTTTCTTGATTTTTGGGCTACACTCCAAGTCTTCTCCCTAGGCAGAAAATCAGATCTCTAAAAAATCCTCAAAAAACAGACCATAAAAATACAGATCAACAGATACTTTCAATTCCCCATGCAGTCTGCTGGTCCTAGAACTGCATGGAATTCACTTATGAATACTATGGTCGTGCTCTGATACCAACTTGGACTATAAGTCAGAAAAATAACTTAATAATCAAGAAGAATGTAAGAGATCCCCTCTCTCTCTCATCTCTCTCATCTTAATAATCAAGAAGAATGTGGACAATGACCACAATACCCCAACCACCCATATTAAGAAAAATACACTATGAGAGAACAGTTGTTTTAAAATAAGGACTAAAACAACATTGCAATGTAAATTTACTGATAATAGGAGTGCAAATCAGGATACACTTGGGATTGGAGATGAAGAGATAACTCAATGTAACCTGGTTCAATTGTTCATAACAAGGGTGAGATTGATGAGGATATCACCCATGGAAGTAGAGCAGGATGGGAATATTGGATGGATGTATCCGGAGTTTTATGTGATAAGTGAATACCACTTTGGCTAAAAGGACTTAGCTCCAGTAGGTGACAACTTGAGGCAAAGTATATTGAGATGATTTGTTCACATGCATAGAAAACCACTTGCAGCACTTGTTAGAAAAAGTGATTTGTTACTAATTTAAAGGTCTACAAGAGATAGGGACAGACCGAAATGGACTTTGATTGAAGTAATAAGAAAAAATTTAAGCACATATAATTTAACAATGGATATTGCACTAAACAGAACAGAATGGAGTAAAAGGATTCATGTAGCCAACCTCATACAGATGTGACAAGGCTTCAATGAAGTTGATGACATTATAAGAAAAAAAACAGCAGCTTGAAAAAGACAAAAATATCAGCTATAAAGACAGTAAATAAACAATAATCATAGCTGTAATATGAACTCCAAACAATAATACCTCTGGCCACCCATATTTAGAAAAATACACTTAAAAAGAACAGCATCTTAAAAGAACTAAAACATCCACTATTAAAGGAGTACATAAACAATGATTATGCCTGTAAACTGAACTCTCAGCATTATTGTTCTACAGTTTTTTAATCTTCATATTAACTTCTTGTCTTTGTTTTAAGAATATATGTACTTATATTGATTGTCAGGTTCGGATTTTTGCCCTAATGGAGGATCCCATCTTAGATGCCATCCGTGAGAGACTAAGACAGAGGATATACATAGAAGGAAGCCACATTTTAACTGTTGGTAGGCCAGTTGAAAAAATGGTTTTTATTGTCCGGGGGCAAATGGAGAGCATTGGAGAAGATCAGAGTGTAGTCCCCTTATCAGAGGGAGATGTTTGTGGCGAGGAGCTTCTTATATGGTGTCTTGAGAATTCTTCAGTGAGCAAAGGTACAATTCTTATTCTTGATTTGCACTTTCCCTTCAGCTAATACATAGATTAATAGAGAGCTGTATCTCTTTCATCCGCCCAAATCCTGACCATGGTCATATTAAGGGCCATGGTATAGAATAGGTTTACAAACAATGTTTTTTTTTTTTTCAATTTGAAACTCCAAGGCAGAAACCATAATTGACCATCTTGAACAAAAATTAAGTGTGTACTCTGCAGAATTCTCAGTTGTCCTGACTTCTAACAATTTGAATTTGGAAACATTAGTATTTCTCTAATCAATTGGTTCAAAACGAAACTGCAAATTGAAAGACATCTGTTAAAAACAAAGTCAAATAATGAAAATTGAACTTTTATTTGAACTACATGGGAACTAATTGTATAGAATCTATGGTCTGATTGTGTTTTTTCTCTGTATTCTTTTTTATTTACGGACTCGGAGTATTGTTGTATCATTACTTGTACATGTACAATTATGTAAAACACATTCTTTGCCTTTGTAAGAGGACATAATGGTCATTTCTCATTCTTTTAATTCAATAATATAAGTTACTCTTTTGGGGATTGGTCTGACATTAGACATGCCCAAAAGACATGTTTTCTTTCTTGCATGATCTGCCTCTGACATGGTGTCAGAGCAAGTCACTATTGGCTTTTCATTGAAGATTTAAGATCTATGATACTGATCAGTATTCAAGGATTTCAAGAGAAGTTTTGTGCATTTTTTGGAGCTTTCTAAAGCAGTATATGGGATGGATCGATCAGCCAAAGTTCTCTCCTCTTTTCTGCAAATTGCAGTATTGTTTTCACTCTTATTCTTTGATTCTGAAAGTAAGTAGTCTGATCCACATAAAGCCTTGGATTTTGTGTCACTTCAGACTTATCTTTATTTTTCTATTGTTTGATCCGAGATCAATTTGATGATTTGGAGGGTTTTGATGCTTTTCTCTGCTTCTCACTTTTGGTAGAACCATGTTATTTCCTTTATTGGACTGATTCCACCAAGGTCCTAATCGGCTGCTGCTTTGGACTTTATATTCTACTAGATTTGGTATTTGATCTGTTACTGCTATTTTTTGTCCCTACCTGCTACTAATAGTTGAAGCGTTCTTCTGGCATTAAATTGAGTTATGGTTTTTTATTATTTTCTGCTATAAATGCCAAAATATTTATAGAGAAGGGAGAGTTCTTGTCTAGGACCTGTGGAGATACATTAATAATTTAGTCCCTAAACCTAGTGAATCTAATGTTAAAGGCATGGTTCAAAGTATCGATACTCGATACAAAATTTTAGTGAATTGAGATTGCATTGGTCAGTACTCTATTTTCCTTATTAGTTTTTTGGTTTTATAATTCTATTGTATAGAGAGGGGTTCTAGTTCTATCCAATCATCCCAAATAGCTTTTTTTCCCTGCTGCCACTTACAGTACTTTTCTTCAAGAAAAGAGACTGAAAGGAAGCTTAAAATTAGTAGGTTTCTTGCTCTACCATGGAAACTTGAAGATATTTAGAAGAAAGGTAAGAAGTAGAGAAGAGAGATTTTGAGAAGTCAATAGTAGGGTGGGGTGGCACTCACGTTTGTATTAGGGCAACCTAACACAGTTTCTAATCTCTCCACATCTTGTTAAGTGATCTGAGAGCAATAAGAGTACACATGAAGAGGAGGTACATACTCTAAAGAAGAGGAAACTCTTGACAGTATTGCCGGCCAGAAATAAGAGGAAGAGAAGGGAAGATAAGAAGAAGAGAGAAGGGCGAAGAGAAGAGAGGGTATTTTCAATGTAACAGTGCTGGTGGCGCCAGCCTTTATTATAATATATATGGGGCGGCAGAAATAACAAGGGAAAAGACCCTTGTGCCCCTGAGTACAATAACAGACATAACAGAAAAGAAAAAACGAAATAAAAAACCACTTTAACAAGTCAAACAGACCCTAGCACCAAAACTAAATTATTTTAACAATCCCCCTCAAGTTGGAGCATAGATGTCAATCATGCCCAACTTGTCACACAAATCTTTGTGCCGCACATGATGAAGACCTTTGGTAAAGATATCTGCAAGTTGTTCTTCTGAGCTGACATATGGTGTACGCACTTCTCCATTTTCAAGTTTCTCTCTAATAAAATGCTTGTCCACTTCAATGTGTTTCGTCCTATCATGCAGAACTGGATTAGCAGCAATATTGATGGCAGCTTTATTGTCACAATAGAGTGACATAGGATTGCTCACTTCGAAACCTAGTTCACCTAAC